TTTTTGTCTGGCTTTTAGTGGTAGTTCTCTCTGCATAATCATTCCAAAAACCTTGGTTCAAAGCTTGTTCCTGTACCTGGAATAAGTTCTATAGCACTCCAAAGCTCCTTGCACCAATAGAAGTAAGCCAATAAAATATTACTTCACCCACTTTGTCTCTCTAATATCCTGGGAGCCTCACTGCTTTCTCTTTATGCCCAGACTGTTCAATGCTGATATTTTTGCAGCAATGCGTTATGCCTTCAAGACGCAAAGGCACTTTCCAAACTGAGTTTAGAGTGGTGTTGTAGGACAGGAAAGGGTGTTTCCTACCTTTCTTCTCTTGCCACTCTTCTCCCTGACATCCTGTTTACACTTTTGGTTCATCTTACTTTCATTTGATCTGCTAAATATCATGACATTTTTTCCTCTAGCACTGGAATTCTCTCTCTCATGCCCCTTTGGTTTTGCTTAGAGCTTGACCAGATAGAGCCAGCAAAGCGCATCTGAGGATATATAATTTATAAAACACACTTAAGAATTGTGCTCACACTGCCCTTGGCATACCCTAAAAAGCAACTAGTTTGCATTAATGCATGACCATGCTAATGGAAACTAAGTACCTTTTCAGAGCATACCAACACATTCTGCATGGGGGAAGGTAGAGTACAGTACACTGGAACTCTTTACAAATCACACCCCTCTAGCACTCTTTGGTGCACCATGAAAACAAGCCTTTATTCTCCTTTTCTTCTTCCTCATTCTAATGGTTTTGGTATCACTTATATTCTTTCTTTTCAAATCATTAAATGGTTTATCTATTGTTTTATGGCTGTGCTACCATTTAGGTTTGCCAGATGGAATCAACAAAAATACCAGACACACTTGACATTACATCACAATCTACATTACATCTTATTTAGAAACTACCGGGCATTTATATTTTCTCATTTATATTTTCTCAATTTGTTTCCTGAACAGAAAGGTCAAATACTGGACTGTCCGGTTCAAAATTGGACACCTGCCAACCTTACCACCATTACTTTGTGCTTTCAATTGAAGAAACTATATCCATGAATAGAACATAATGTAATACCTCACAAATAACTGAAACAAATGGGGATAGTCTGTGACAGATAGCACAGGCAATCAAATGGAAAATGTATACAAGCAAGAGTTTATAATTTAAGTAAATGTAACCAAATTACAAATTTGGCATAATACATTCCTTTGGAGTCCATTGTGGCTGTCAGCGACTACCTGGCGGTCTCTTTGGATATGTCTACACCCAGCAAAGAAAAACTCACAACTAACATGTTCCAGCTGACTCAGGCTCATAAGGATGAGGCTGCAGTGCTATTGCATTGTTAGGGTTCTGGGTCCCATGATCTTGTGGGTGGGGAGTGCAGGCACAATTCCAATAGTCAAAAGGAAAATTGTCATATTTATACCCATAGTTCATTCTGGGGTACAAAGATTTAGGCATCAACAAACTTTATCCTGAGTCTTCCCATACTTGGCATTTCTATCAGTCTATTAGCCTGAAGAAATGTATCTGTCCAAATCAAATCATGGCCTGTCTTTCTGATATCACCTCATGAGTGTCTAGCCATCAGCTGAAACTCAACTTCTCTAAAACAGAGCTCTTAATCCTGCCTCCCCCCCGACTACTCCTTCCTATCTTCTTTCTCAATCACTGTGAACTCAAATTGGGACCTCTGAAGCGTAGTGCATGAGCCTCTATCACCTGAGCTAAAAGCCAGTTGGCTGGTAGCTAAGGCCATAGAGCAGACTCACTGTTCGCTCTGGAAGTGTCTCAGTGCCACTAGATGGGACAGTGTACCCCCTCCTTAATGGTGTGTGGGTTACATTTGTAGCTAAAACTCTGGCTTAGGCTCTCATCATCTTGTGTCTTAGTTCATGGAGGGTGGGTATAATAGGCCATGGAACTCTGTCTCCCATGGTACTACCACAGCCACTGGACCCCTAGTTCTGGAATTTTGGGGGGAAAGTTTTTGATTTATCTTGCAGCCGAGGAGTCAGTATGTGCTACTCAGTTTCCTGCTTCATCCGTAATCTCAGGAAGCTGAGTAGCACAAACTGCCTCCTCAGCTGCCCCAGAACCTGCAGGGAGCCTATCAAAAGCATCCAGAAGAGATGCTTTTCCCCAGGATGGGCTAGTTCTGGGCAAGTGGAGGCTGGGAGGCAAGGCTGTGGCTGGACAGGGCTACTTCAGGCAGGTGGAAGTGGGCTGGGACTTTGATCTGCCCAGAGCTCTTCCACTGAGGTGGACAGGGGGAGCTCGGGGCTTTGGCTGGCTTGAGCCTCCTCCTACCAGGGCGAGGGAGTGCACTCAATACTTCTCTGGGCAGGGAAGGGGAGGTCTTGGACCTTCAGTTGCAAGGGGGTCCTGGAGCTTTGCCCATGGAGGTGGGATGCAGGCAGAAGAAACAGAGTTAGGGTTAACATCTCCACAGATGGAAAAGCGACGAGGAGTCCTGTGGCACCTTATAGACTAACTGAAGTGTAGGAGCATAAGCTTTC